CATGGGATATCTTTCCACTTTTTTAAGTCTTCTTAAATTTCCTTAATCAGTGTTTTTTTGTAGTTTTTCATGTATAAGTCTTTCATCTCCTTGGTTAGATTTATTCCTAGGTATTTTATTACTTTGGGTGCTATTTTAAAGGGAATTATTTCTTTCTTTTTCTGTTGATTCATTGTCAGTGTAAAGAAATGCAACTGATTTTTGAACGTTAATCTTGTAACCTGCTACCTTGCTGAATTCTTCGATTATTTCTAGTAGTTTTTGTGTGGACCTTTTAGGGTTTTCTATATACAGCATTGTGTCATTTGCATATAGTGACACTTTTACCCCTTCTTTTTCAATTTGGGTTCCTTTTATTTCTCTCTCTTGCCTGATTGCTGTGGCTAGAACTTCCAAGACTGTGTTGAATCATATTCTTTTTATTATAGGTTATTACAAGCTATTGAATATAATTCCCTGTGCTATACAGTAGGACCCTGTTGTTTATCTATTGTGTATATAACAGTTAGTATCTGCAAATCTCAAACTCCCAATTTATCCCTCCTTACCCTCCTTCTTCCCTAGTAACCATGAGTTTTTCTGTCTGTGAGTCTGTTTGTTTTGTAGATAAGTTCATTTGTGTCATATTTTAGATTCCACATATAAGTGGTATCATATATTTGCCTTTCTCGGACTTACTTCACTTAGTATGACAATCTCTAGGTCCATTTATGTTGCTGCAAATGGCATTATTTCATTCGTTTTTATGGCTGAGTAGTATTCCATTGTGTATATATTATGTACCACAACTTCTTTATCCAGTCATCTGTCAAGGGATATTTAAGTTGTTTCTATGTTTGGCTACTAGTAAATAGTGCTGCTGTGAACATTGGGGTACATTTGTCTTTTCAAATTAGAATTTTCTCCAGATATATGCCCAGGAGTGGTATTGCTGGATCATTGGGTAACTCTATTTTTAGTTTTTTAAGGAAATTCAAATTATTTTAAAATTTCTCTTAAGCTTTCTTCTTTGACCCGTGTGCTATTCAGACATGTGTTGTTTAATCTTCACATATTTTAGGATTTTCTGGTTATCTTTCTGTTTCTGATTTCTGGTTTAATTCCATCATGGTATGAGAACAAGCATGGTATGATTTTTATTCTTTTAAATTTTGAAGGTGTACCTCGTGGCCCAGAATGTGGTCTGTCTTGCTGAACGTTCCGTGTGAGCTTGAAAAGAGTGTGTGTTCTACTGTTGTGGGTGAAGTCGTCTATAGATGTCCATCATACCCAGTTGATTGATGGTGTCATTGAGTTGGGTATGTCATTACTGAGTTTCTGCCTGCTGGATCTGTCCCCAAATCCTCCCCTCAAAGATTTCAAACGTAAGATTTCAGACACCTTGCATTTGAGTCCTGTATAATGAAGATAACTAAGGGGACACCTAGTCAGCAGCAGACCTAGTGGGATGTGCATTGTGAGTCTCTGAGGGGCTCCTAAACCAGGCAGAACAGAGCAAATGTTCTCTCCCCAGGTGGCACTGGACCAGGGCTGGCTTCCCCGGGCCAGGGCAGAGCAGAGCATCTCTGGGGAAGAGAGCACAACTGGACTCCTGTGAGCCGCTGGCTCCCCAGAGGGAGAGGAGAAGCGGAGCAGAGCACACCCAGGTGTTTACATTTCAGACTCACGCATCAAATAAAGTGCTCCCCTGGGGAAGCACTCATAAAGAAGCGGCAGGGTAAGGCTTTAGTCTAGTTACATTCCCTCCACATGGAAGAAACATCAAAAGTAGTGGAGGAACTGCCCCCGCCCCACCTTCCAAGAGTACACTAACTCTTCCAAAAAAAAAAAAATCCAAAAATAGTTCCCAGACATATAAGATATTAGCATTATTGGAGACATTTTATTAGAATCTGAAGACCCAGAGATTTGCCAAATGTTGATGAACGGCTAAAGTTAATACACAGGCTGAAGCTTATTGTACATGTAATTTCTCTTCTAGAAAATCTTCTATTTGGCCTCCACTCTTGAGTTCAGACAATGATAAACTAGGTTTATGTTAGCAAAGAAATGGTGACAGATGGAGGATGGGGGAGAGGAAGAAAAGGCAGGAAGTAAGGGAGGTGGGAACAAAGAGGAGAAAGGAAGGGAAGAGGTCATCACTGTTAACAGGTAGGTGTGAACAGCCCCAGACTTTTTCTACGTGGAGTTGAGAGAGTGGTCAGTTTCTGAATCTGGACCCTAAACAGGCAAGAGGTGTTTATCTCTGTGGGGCTTCTTAACGTTTTCTTTCTTCGACTCTTCTCTAAGTAAAAATTATTTTTTTCTGGGGAAGAGAATTTAGGATGGGGAAGTATGTCTTTCTAACTAACATTAAGGGAGAGCGTGAAGCAGCACCCAAAGCTGCAGTGGTCACTGCAGGTGCCTGGCAGGGAGGCGTCTGTGTGAGGCTTGCCCGGTTTGGATCTGCAAATGTCAGATCCTGGAGCTCAGGGTCACTGATACTGCACTAGACCCGAGGGCAGGACCCAGGGCAGGTGGGAGTGGAGATCGTGGGTGTCCTTCGGGCCCATATGAGCAGCAGGGTCCTTACCTAGACCCCTCCTTGGCACAAAAGACAAATCAGGCTTAGTTTCATTTCTTTTTTTTTTTAACATTTTTTATTGATTTATAATCATTTTACAATGTGTCAAATTCCAGTGTAGAGCACAATTTTTCAGTTATATATGAATATATATATATTCATTGTCACATTTTTTTCTCTGTGAGCTACCACAAGATCTTGTGTATATTTGCCTGTGCTATACAGTGTAATCTTGTTTATCTATTCTACAATTTTGAAATCCCGTCTATCCCTTCCCACCCTCCACCCCCTTGGCAAAGTTTAGTTTTATTTCTAAAAATAAAAACCAAGATCATGCATTTAGGAGGTGGATTGTTGTAAAAGTGAAGGCCCATTTCAGCTGGTCATTCCCATTTGTTGTTTTACCAACAGACATTTGAAAATGGCACCTGCTTCCCTTGGCAAAGTTGTGTCAATGGACAGGGTGGGTAGCCCTGAATGACTGCTGAGGTAGTGGTTGAACTGGGGCTGTTAACATTTTCACTAATCCCACCTCTCAAAGTATTTGTTGGGAAATTAGTCACTCTGTGGGGCCCCCAACTGAAGAATGAAGAGAAGGAAGGGGTAGAGTGAAGAAGATATAAACCCTCTGCTTTCACACGGCTGCTGCAGTGACTTGATTGACAATAAACCAGGTGCGAGGAGCTTGGATGGTCAGGAACCCCCATGGGTGGGTAAGACTTGTGACTTCTTTTCCATGTTGGTGGCTTCTGATGGCCTGAGCAGCTCTCCTGTCCATTCTGGAGAAATGGATAGTTACACCTGCATATCAGTTTGGATTGCTCTTAAATTGGTAGTAACGAACTTGACAAATAACTAAGCAAATAGGAATTTATTTTCCTCATTGAGGACGAAGTTGGAAGATAGGTGGTTCCAGGGCTGGTGCAATCCTTTGTGATGTCAGGGAACCTCAAGGCTCCTCCTTCTTTACCACTCTTCAAACTAAGTCTGTTGTCTGTTGCCTCAATGGCACAAGATAGCTGCTTAAGTTCCAGATGTCACACTTCAGTGCAAGACAGGAAAAACTGGGAAAGAGGAAAGAAGGGACTTTAAATATTTGTTGGTTTATCCAGAGAACCCTGGGACACAATTTTGATCCTGAAGCAAGGAAAACTGATTTTAAACCCAGAATCATTTTGGCCTAAAGCTACTCAGGCTGGGTATTCTTGACAACTCTGGACCCTTTCCACCTAACAACCTGTTTCCAGAGAATTTCTCACCAAAACAGAGCTGGATGAGATCATAAGGTGGGACATATAAATGCTGCAAATGTCAGATCCTGGAACAGCCCAGCTCCCAAAGGCCTTGCAGCACAAGTCACTGTTCATCTAGAGATTTAAGGATCAAGGAAATAAACCTTGGTTTCTCAGGAGAATAAAAGGATGTTTGCAGGAAGAAACAGTACTCTCCCCAAATGCTGCTCCTGGAGGACAGAGGCAAAGGCACACCCGCTCTGACATTGCTCCTGGGGTCATCTCGCCTTTATGACACCAGGAGTCATGCTAACATCACAGAGCCCAGGGTCATCCTAGTAAAAGGTGCATGTGGAAGAAGTCCGTGAGAGTCTATAATAAATAGTTAACAGGAGTTACTGAGGGAGGGAGCGGGAGCTGGGAGATACGTGAAAAGGAGATACCACAATTTACACTTCTTGTACCGCGTATTTGGAGAAACAGGTGCTTACACCACTTCTGACTTCTGAGGTTAGTGATCCGCGCAGCGGGACAGTGAGTGGTTCGCAATGACAGGTGGAAAATCTCGGGCTGGATTTCCAAAGGTGCTAACCACGCGCTAGGCACCCAGACTCTGAGGTTGCCCTGGGCGTGGCTCCTGCCCTCCAGAGGAAGTGATGAAGCAGGAATGCAAATTCCTCTGACACAGAGTAGAAAGTGGTTGAATAATAAAGAGGTTCCGAAGAAATACCATGAGAACTGGAAAAAGACTTCCTTCTGAGGAAGGAGGATCAAGGGAGGCAGAGTCTCATGAAAGAGATGACAAAATATGAAATGTCTATAAAATGTTTAAACACTCTTACACACTTTCTTTTTTTCTCCCGAGATCAGTTCCTTTGTCACGTCTGGAGTGAAGGGTGCCCTGCTTCTCCCAGAGATCAACTGCCCAGACCCATGGTGTCTGTGCTACCTCACATCAGCACCTTTTCCTGTTTATCAATTGGCCTCCATTAGACTCTTGAGTTACGGTCAGAGCATGTCACACGTCCAGGTGGACACACAGCCTGGCACTGGCAGCCATCCCCTCCATCCCTTCATTCAGTTTGTCAAGCTCTGTGCTAGGGGTTGAGGGGGCAAGCAAAGCTGAGTAAGTTAAAATATCTACCATCGAGGAGAGAAACACAGAAATCAGTAGTGACAGTGCAGTGGCAGAAGCGCCTTGACAGGAACAGTGCACGGGGCTGATAGAACCAACCGAGGACCAGAGTCAGGGTGGGAGGAGAGAGAAAGAAAGGCTTCCCCAGAGAGGTAGTATTTCAGCTCTTTTTGAAGAAGGTGGACAGAGGAATATGATTAGGAGATGGATTTTATGTGGCAGAAACAGCATCTCAAAAAATATGACTCCAATTATGATCAGGGTAGAGTCTAGGGGATTTAACTCCCATCTATGTGTTTCCCTTTCAAAGTCATAGACATTTTTTAAAAATCCAACATTAAGAACCCATCATTGTAAGAGAAAGCTGGCGAAGTAATTTATCCTAGAATCAGAAATAACCGGCCCACCAACCTATTTTCTGATCACCTCCCACTGGGTATTTCAGTGCACTGGCTCCCTGAGCAAAAGCAGTGAGTCACCAGTTACAAAGTAACATCATCTCATCAACCCACAGTGAGACTGAGGGACTGGCCTGAGGGGCTTCCGAGCTGCAGGCTGGAGATGTGTGTGTGAGCTCCCCCCACCCCCCGCCCCACCAGCTGGAGTACTGTATTGTTTGGCAAACAGGCAACTCCCTTCCCCTCTTTGCGTGATTGTGCCCCTTAAAATCAATTGTCATCTAAACAATTTTTGCTTTAATTCCAGTTGGCACAGAGAAGATGTAAGAAGCCAACATCAGGTCAACATGATCTACTATAATCACCCTTTTCACAGGGACTGGCAGATTAAACGCCCACATCAGGCAAGGGCTTACTGCAAGTCCTGGAGACATCTGCTCACACTGACAGGCAGTCTTGTCCGCAAACACGCTGAGCAGAGATGTAATAATGTCCACCTTTTCCTTTCGCATAAATCTCACTAATCCTCAGGTACACAATGTGCTTCCCGACAAGCAGGTGAGGAAACTGAGGCATTGGTTAAGCAAACTGCCTGAGCTCGCGGCAGAGTTGATATTTTAGTCCAGGGTTACTCTGGCTCCAAAACCCAATCTTTCTTTCACACAAAGCTGCCTCTCTTAGTCAGCCCTAGGCTCCTCAAGGATAGAGAAGGGAAGATCCTAGTGGAGAAAAATGTTAACCTTTTTTGAGGCAAGAAAAATCAACTATATGGTAGTTAATCCAGTTCGTCTTCCTTTACAGGATTATGGAGAAAGTAACTGCCTTCTCAGCACCAACAATTCTATTCTGTCCTAACGCTCCTCCTGCCCTGCAGAGACAGCCCTGCAGAGGGTGCCACGTTGTGTGCATAAAGGCAGGAAAACCGGAGGGCTCTCAGTCAGAGGTCTTAAGGCAAGAACTCCAGAAATGCTCATTAACCCTTTAGGATCTACTTATTTGTGCCTTTTCCTTTTCCTGCAAGAAGTCTGACGGATGTGTTGATCCTAACACTTGTAACTTTCTAGCAAGTGTACGCAAGGAGCTAGATACAGAGGGAAACAGGTAAGACAGGAATCAGCAGTACTAGACCCAAACCCCACGACTTCAAGCTGTGGGAGGGAAACGTGCGGGCATGGGGCAGATGTGTTGCACGGGAACCTCTGAAAATTGAGGCTGGAATGTTAATTTTTTTCCAAACTCCCAGTTGATTATAATGCACCGTATTGAATAATAATCATAGCTCTAGAAAGCTGTTCAAAGAATTCATTCAATCAGGAATTCGTCCCTGGAGATCTCATAGCCTTAGGAAATGTCAGACTCGGCTGTCTCCTAAAAGCTTGTTAACTCTCTCAGCTGAAGATGAGGGTTTCAGCAAGTTACTTTTTTTCTGGGTCTTTCTCATATTTACATGTTGTTAAACTTTTGATTTTCTCCTATTTGAAAAGGGTTCGTAACTCTCAGTGAACTGATGCTACACGTTTCCCATAGTCTTCTCATCATTTAAAAAATCTGGATTCAGGAAGTGGTATTTCACACTCTATCACCACCTGTTACATTAGGATGAGTGGTCACCAATGCCTGCTAGCAATTAAGAGTTAGCCACTATATATAAAAATAGATTTAAAAAAAACTAAATTTCTTCTGTATAACACAGGAAACTATATTCAATCTGGTAATAACCTTTAACGAAAAATAAGAAAATGAATATACGTATGTATATGCAGGACTGGGACATTGTGCTGTACACCAGAAATTGACACATGGTAACAGACTATACTTCAATTGAAAAAAAAAAAGTCTTAAGGTCTTATCTCTGAATGAATAAAATGGGAATTAAAATTTTAGAGCCCAAATGCCAGTTTGCAGTCAAACCAAATCACTACACAGGAATTCAGATGGCTGAAAAAGTAAATTTGATGGAAAATAATATATTTCCATGCTAGGAATTTACGTACAAGTACTGTTCTTGTACCTCTGAAGAGCTGATTCTTTCCAACAAGGTTATTTGTTACTTCTCATATTCTAGGGCAGAGGCTGCCCTCCAGATTTCTTGTGAGCTTGGAGCAAACTTTTATTTTACTTGCTGATCTCGCTGTGCTTCTGGTAAAGCTAAAAGAAGACAAACAACTATGTTGGAAGGCAGGACAGTCTCTGCCTCTTCTCCTTGTGGCACTAAAGATAAAGCATTGATTTAATTAAAATACAAAAGGAGTAGCTAATTAAAAAAAACAAAAGGATAAAGTGGGTTGGTTTGTTTTGTTTGCAAGCTTGAGAGATAGGAAAACCTCCAAAATTTTGTAAACCAGAAGTGTGTGATTTGGGCTTGCTATGACCTCAGCTGGTAAAGGAGCAATAACTCTATTTCTTCCCTATTTAGCTACTAGATTTTTTTTTTAAATGGTTTCCATGAAAATAAGTGGGTTCTTTAGAAGTAGGTTGCTCAATCTCTCAAAAAAACAAAAAAAAAAAAAGAAGAAAGAAAAGAATGTTAAGTTGAAGACATCAAGAAAGAAAAGTTAAAACAGACAAATTGAGTTCAAACTAAACACTTTCCTTCTAACTTCTATGAAGCATGGAATGAGCTTTTTCTTTTTTTTCTAAATAACTTTAGGGAAGGTTGCATTTTAGGTCTATGTCCCAAAGAATACATGCCCATAAGCAGGTCTGATCTATGGTGACCACTGAATCTTCTGCGAAATAGAAATGAGGGTAAACTATCTTCATAAAGCTGATTTTGCATTTATTAAAATTAAACTGCAGTCTATCTCCTAACATACAAATTACTGTGACAATGATGTTCCACCCCCACCCTGATTCCATGCCAGTCGTTCTTATGTCATATAAGTTCTATCACATAAACATTTTGTGAGGAGGTGGTGATAATATATTGTAAATCAAACTGATTTTCAAAAGGACGACAGGTTCACATTTCCACATTTATTGAACTTTATTAACAAGTAAAACACATTAGCATGTTTCATATACGGGCAAGGACATTCAATAGTAAATGGCACATTATCATCTAACAGTTGAACTTTATCAAGAATGAGATTTTTAAAAATAATACACTAATACTTTATGACTATTTGAAAAACTTAAATAACAATTAAAATAACTTTTAACAGCAGTTTAAAAATATAAAGGCTCATTGTTTACTGTTTACTATAAGCTGCAATCATTCCAATACAGCCTCTATTAAAAAAAAAAGATACATATATGTGTGTCCTACAGGAGGGGCTGTGACTGTGACACCAGTAACTGGCTTCTGCCCAAACGCTGCAGTTCTTCTCTCAAAGGGCAGAGGGTTTAGGCAGTCACTGCTCAGTAGTGTGCAGTTATATGCAGGGTGATCATATAATTTCTGCTCTAAACTAGGACACTTACGAGAAAGGAGGCACTATTTAAGCTGAGAAAATAGGAATACCCAGATCTGTCCTGAGCAAACTCAGGACATGTGTCACTCTAGTTAAATACAGTATCAGATGCACTGTCATTACCTTTGTGCTTTAGGGGACAGACCAGTTGGAAAAAAAAATGTTAAATTAAGAAACCCTGAATTTTTCTCCAGTTGGACTTTCTGAACTCCACTTTCCTTTTTATAGAAGTTTTGCTGGAAATGTTAGCGATTATTGTCTTAGGTTATAATTTATGAACTTCAAAGGAATGGGATATAGCTTATAGATTCAAAATACAAGACCAGAGATTGGTATTTTTTCTATTAAAAAGACATTTTCATTTTAACCAAGTAAAGGAGAACGTCTTTTAAGTTTCTAAAAATCCCAAACACACTATATAGAAAATGTATTTTTACCTTAAATTCAGCTTATTTCATAAAAACACAAAAATGGATTATTCTGGCCATCACTAGCTTATTCAAATATGGTAGAAATAATTTAATACATTTTTGCATTAACTTCCAAGCCCCAAGTTCACATTCATTCAGAAGTTGTTTAGACACCCTAACAAGGATTCTGATTTTCCATCTATAAGGCAGAGTGCAGAGGCGGTTAAGTGTCTCTAAAACCCGACAGCAGCTCTTCTGTGCAAGCTCACGGGAAATGAGGGGGCGCATGCAGCACGTGACAAACCCAGAAGGGAATGTTCACTTTTTAAAAATAATATTCTGACTCTCCTGATTGGATGAAGAGACTTTAGACTACAAATGAATTATATCAGTAACAGAGAATTAGGTAACACGTACACTTGAATCTTACAGGTTTGGGGGAAAAAAATCAAAACAAAGAGTGAAGTTTTGACATTGGGTCAACATCTACATGCCAAAACCAAGTAAGTATAAACACCACAAAAACAAAAAAAGTTTTATGATAGATGATCTAGTAGTTTTAAATAACCATGTATCATAGCTTAATTTGATTTAAAAATTATTACAAAGAGCAAAGTATAGGTCTATGGGAAATTAATCTGCAATAAAGAGATTAGCACAAGTTTACATTTGTAATAAGTAAATTCTACTTTTAATTAATTTCCAAATCAGGCAACTAAATTAAATATTTTATTTTCTTTACCCCAGGCTACTATTTTACTTTAAGGGGTGTAACATAGCTACTTCAATCAACAATTGAAATTCTATGCAGGGGAGAATGAATGAGGGAAAACAAAAAATAGGAGGCTCGGTTAGCAAAACAAAACTGCATGGTTTATTTATCAAAAACAATAAAATAAGAGAATACAGAGAAATACAAAAGTTATAAAGCATAATAAATTTTATTTTTTCAGAAATGGAAAAATGACCCTGAAGTTTTAGATGTATCTTTTAGTAGTCAGTGTCTAATAATAAACAAGCAATCAATTTTATATGTTTTCTATACCTGTATCAAATGATTTTTAAATTTAAAAGATGATATAATTCCCATCATTTTTAATGTTGGCATTCAAAAGCAAAGATGTAACTGAAAAGAAAACAGATGAGACACAAAATGATTTGCAAAGTGTAGTAGCTCATGAATGTAAAACAGATTCCAGTTGTAACAATACATATTCACACATACAACAGCCACACACTCACCCACACTCTTATATTCCACAGACATTTCCATAACTTGAAAACAGATACTTCACATATCAGTAAATGATTTTTTTTACAAGTTAATTCTACAATCATAAAGCAATAAGCTATTAAAAGCACAAGTTTTTTATTTGCTAAGTTAAACTAAGCATCTAAAGAAAAAATATTACAATGATATTGAAAGATACTTTTATTGGCTTTTTAAAAGACAAAATGCAAATGAAAATATCTTATTCAGAAAAGTAACTGCCAAAAGCCTTAAATGAAATAAATATACTATCTAATACAATCTCTTCCTGCAAGAATCTCTAAGACAGACAATGCTGAAAAACCAAGCTTCTCATTTGAAGATCCCTAAAAACTGGCATGTCCCTTAAAAAAAAAAAATTTTCTTATAAAGGACATGTGGAATACCCATATTTTCTTAAAATGTGTCCTAAAACAAACTCTTTTTAACACCCAAATTTTCTATATATATTAAGTCCACTTAATTTAGAATTAGTGAAAAGAATCTAGACACAATTTCTAAGAAAACAATGCAGAAAGTAATTTATGCATGGTTATTTACAGAGTTTTGCTAAATAATGATGTATAAATATCATGTTCAAAAATCGGACAAAGCCTTTCTAGTAATCAGCACTGCAGGTTTCAAAAAATTATATATATAACAAAGGATGCTTCATGTGTAGAGTTACCAGGTAAATCTGAAAGCCAGAAACTAAAGCATTTGACATGGTTAATTGCATTTTTATTATGCTAAATGTCAGGTCAGAAGTCAATGGCATATACATGCTGGAAGACTGTTTATCACTCAACCCTTTCAATTATACCAAACACTGATTAATCAAATGTGACTGGACTTTCAGTCCTACAACTTTATGCTTTCCTTCAAGTATACGCAAATCTTTAAAATGGGCACATATGCAAATGTGCAAAACAAATGAAATATAAATGTTTAAGAGAATGAACAGAAACGGCTTTTAAGCGTAAACCACTCTGCCATTCAATTTGGAAGCTCTATCTTTTCTTCACTAATTTGTCTTCTGTTTTTAGTAGTCTTCTATTAAAGTTGTAGGTTTACAGATGATCTGGAAATTTCACATTGATATAAGAAAGGAATGTCTGGTCAACGCAGTCTAGGGACAAAGAAAGAATTAGTCTTAAAAAGTATTAAGTTGCAATTATTTAAATGACAGTTCAATAAAACCCATTTTAGAGCAGTATTACATTAAGTATATAATATTCTTGTGATAAGGATGACAAAGTAGCATAGCTCTGAATATATTCCAAAGTTTAAGCTTCTAAAGGAGACCATCTAGAAAATATTTAGATTATATTTTAGACTACTGAAAATGCAAACAAGGTAGTCACTGAATTTTCACAGCATATCGTTTAAATCAGTACAACTACTCTGTCTTTTATCTTACAGGTAATACTGACAAACTCCTAGTGTCATTGCTTGTAAAGACATTTTACTGGTTAAAGAGAAAATATGACATCTAGGGGGAGGAAAAAACCTTAACTGAACATTTATAATGATAATTTAATATAATCCAGAAATGCAACTGTATTCATTGTACTCTTTAGCAGAAATATAAGATGTAAATAAAATTTAAGCAACCAAATCACAAACCATACAATTTATTTACAAAAACAGTATTTAACCCGAGCAACCTTGAAACATTTTGTACTTGTAGATACATTCAGAAGTGTTGTAGTAGACACTTTGCTTATGCAGTTCAAATACTTGTTCAAATTATGTATTTATAGATGACATGTATGGTGCTTGCTTTAAAAACAGTATGGAGACCAGAGAGGTCTCTTCGTGTGAAGATCTACTAGCTGCACAATAAATGCCTTTACTGTACACGCAGGCTCCAGAGAGGCGCTAACTAGTAAGACAAGCTCTGCTCATTTCCTTACGTTCCCATTTATTCAAGTTGTAGCCTTCCATGTTGATACCAACTGACACACGTTACAAAAATAATCCCAGAGCTCCTATTTTCTTCACACAACTTTTATTCCTGGATCCAGTTTAAGATTAGTGCATGGAAAAAGGCTTTACAATCACAGATTTGTTTTCTGTTTTATCCACCAGATATCTATACGGATTTCACATTGTTTTATGCAAAATGCCCATTCTTTCTGTGTAAGTGCTTTATCATATTTTGTTTTTCAAGCCTTTAAATACTATACTGGTGGTTACTTCGTAAATATCCTGTAGTCAGTCTTAAAAAAGAAGTTTAAAAGTCTGATTTAAACTTTCAGTTTACTCGCTGTATATTAAAAAAAAACCCTAAAATTTATGAAATTCAAGTTTAAAAATTGAAGTTCTTAAAAGTTCACAACTTATTAAATTTCAGTAAGCAACTTAACAGTGTAAAATACATTAAGCTAAATTTTAGTAAACATGAGTACACATTAAGTATTTAATTATGCACCTGGTGAATTTGAATACAAAGGGAATGTTATTTCTTACCTCTATAATAAGAAGAAGTATCTTGTTCTATGAGCTGCTGCCATACTTTCAGACATGTTTCTGACTTTCAGATAATTAACAAATCCTCTGAAGAAAAGCAGCAGGCCTGAGAAGGTTGGAATAATACAGATATATTATGTTCTTATACAGAGAGGGGGGTAAGATAAATTAAAAATAGACAATTATAAACAAGATCCTCTTGGCCTAAGGAATTTAATGTGTAGGATTCCATTCCATAATATAGTTTACACTATATATAATAATTCTATTGTGAGGAAATATAATAAAGTTATATTGCCCCCCAAAATTCTTTCCATTTGTTAAGTCTAGATGTATCGAAAGTAAAGCAAATCCAGCCACAATAATACATACTAATGATTCCTTTAAATAACAAAGTTATCTAATGCATTTATACTTGATTTAACTCATAGAAATCTAATTTTATACCAAACTTTAGTTTAATAGTTATATTCATTGAGGACATATTTACTGATATTGAAGTATTCAAAAGAGAACATTGCATGTAAATGCTAACAATTGTGGGATAAAACCAGTAAGTCTAGCAAGATCAGGTGCCTGTCATTGGTGAAATCTGTATTTAAAGATATGTGCATTATGTAAAATAATTATTTTTATTTTCAAGTAATAAGACTAATTTATAAAGAAAATTAAGAAAAATCAGAACCCACTAGTGATTTCTTAAATGATTTGAGATGTATCTTCTATCTCAGTGTTCTCCTCTGTAAAATAGTATTTTAAAATAATAACTATTTGGGGGAGGGAAATAGCTCAACGGTAGAGAGCATGCTTAGCATACACGAGGTCCTGGGTTCAGTCCCCAGTACCATCATTAAAAAAAAAAAATACCACTTACATCACAGGTATCTTTAATAAAACAAAGCCTGTGACATGCTTCAAAGTTTCAAATGAAAAATATTAGCTAAGTATAAAAAACATTACCATATTAGTAGAGTTAAGTCTTTGATATAGCTAAGCATACAATCCTAAGGGAAACATTAACTCCAGTAAATTTTTAACCAGGTAATGGTGGGGGGTGGGGGTGGAGCAGAGGATATGGACACATGCAACTTTCCTCACCAGGAGGAAGAATCTGGCAGTTTAAAATGCAAAGTCAGAACACTGTAAACTGACTATACATCAATTTAAAAAAAAATTGTATAGAAAAAAATGCAAAGTCCCAAACAAAATTAGTACCCCAACTCTAAGACAGTAATCGAAGCACTAAAATAAGAAGCATGTTTATAATAAATTGGAGAGGAAAGATAGAAGAATACATAAATAATGACTTACACAAGTGGTACAGATTTCAGCTAAATCTGATCCCATCCGCTTCTCATAGCCTAACTCTTTCCACTTGTGACTCCCACCCTGAATTCTACCCTCATGCCCTTCTAGATGCTGTTCAAAGATAATGATACTGTGAACCAAACACAAGAAGTATTACTGAAAAATGTAAACCAAGATTATTTGTGAAATTCCTTCTTCTGTCTATGAAGCTCCTGTTTCTAAGACATGTTTTGCTCTGTTCAGACATTTTCTAAATGAAGCCAGTCCATATCTAGAAACCAGTCACTTGGCAGCTCTGGTTTCTCAGCGATCTATGTGCTCAACGTTCTTCTGAGTGTATGTGAAAGCAGCATTTTCATCATGGATTATATTTTCACCCTTCCCTACATGCTAGATGACGGCTGTGATGTGGAACTGGGACTGTCCTCTGCATTTGCTGTCCACAGGGGACTTCCTAAGATTCCTCAACCCCCTAATATTTATAGGCAAGTAACTCATGCATGCAATCTGCTTAAGTACCTAACAGTCGTTATAAACTTTTTCACCTTTAAGTAAGAACCTCAATAAAGAGCACAGAATCAGTCAGAAAACAATTAACATAAAAAACTCACTGAGCTTTAGTACGAGTCTGACTCCCCAACAAAAACCACATTAGAATAATTTCACTATAATTATGAGAGGAAGAATCTAGGATCTTTATTGACCTTAACCGACCACTAAGATTTTGTTTCCCAAGAGATCCTAAGATCCAACAGCAGGACTAAATAAAAACTCAGAGAGAACAGTGCCATCTACTGAAATGCTAGTTTCTGGTACAGTTATGTTACTAGAAGTGTGGGCTCTTAAACCTAAGCAGAAACAAAATGTATTCTTCATATGAGTAAATAAATTTGAAATATGGATTTAAAGTATAACGTGATTTTAGGATTGACTTAATTATCATATATCTACAGTGTAAAACACAAGAGAACAAAAATTGGAAATCCATAAAATTCATCAACATTAATAAAAGACATACCCTGTAAGAAGAAAAGAGAAGTACTGTGATCATCAGGCATGAAGCCTTTGCTCATGCCCGGCTGATTAATGATTAATGCAGGTCCATTTCAAAAGTGCAAAGAATGTTTCAATGACCCAAAAATAAAAGAATGGACAGAATATCCAACTGTCCTACTCTCAATGTTTCTTAAGATCATTAAAAGAAATTATGCACATGTATTTTCCAAAATAAATGCTGAAAGCAATCATTTTTTTAATCATCTTAAGGCTGTCAAGTTTTGTAGTATTCAATTATCATTCAACCACTGATTGTTTAAATTGACAGGCTCTGAATTTTAAGTCAGAAATCTAGAGTGCTATGTGGAATTATCTGAATAGCTGAGATAAGTGTTTGGATATGGGAATTTAGTAGAAAAATTATTTCCACAAAAATTAGAACAAAAGTATATTTATATCTTATAATTTTAGGAAATATCAAAGTTAAACTAAATGCAAATTATTCATACTGAATACATTAAGAATAAACTTACCAAGTACAAGAAATATCCACCAAAGCCAATATTGTCCATTGAAATATCCAGTAAAATAATCAGAAAACTATGGAGTGAACATAAATATATTAAACATATCTATGTACCTAAATTTGAAAAATCATAGATTAGCTTCAGTTTCGGAATGATTTACCTCAAGTAATCTTTAGCACTTAAAACAGTACACACACAAAAAAACCCCACAGAAATAATAATGACATATGTATATAATTATTTAAGAAAAAACTTACGTAACAGCAAACAAACTTATGTAAAATATTTTAGAAACAAAGATCAGTTTCAAACTGCTTGTAAGAAAGAAAGATAAGCACTATGTATCTGACTCCAACATTTTCTCATTAAAGAGTTCACATGTCAGTTCTTTTTTCATAATCTCTCAAAGCCACAACTACCATCCCAAACACACTACAGCAACCCGCTGCTTCAGATATTAACACCAAAAGCCACATTAGTTTAATCTTATCAGATGGGGATGTTCTGCTGACCTCCAAAAAGAAGAGCTTTTGACCTTCTGTACACCCCCTACTGTTAATCACTGCCAAGAATACGAGGCGCATAAAGACCCCCAACTCATTAGAGTCTTTTTATTTTCAAGCTAGATGCTCCAGCATTCAGTTCCCAGCAGTGAGCTGAGAACAGTTAAATGAACCTTGAAGTGGTATTTCAACAGCTCCTATTAGTGGCCATGGTAGATGGTTTATGTTCTCCATGAAATGAGAATGTGAACAGGCAGATGGAAGGCAGGGTTTGATGATACTGGACACAGGTTATCTTTTCCTTGATTAGACTCAGGACAGGATGGTTTATTTTTTTAAAAAGTTTTTGTTTTAATCAGTCTAATTTTCCAGCTTATTTTATCTTTTGTTTCCA